TCTTTCTCACAGAATTTCCATAGAGTTATCAACGCGAGCAAAGTTTTATGAAGAAAATGAGTGATAATCGATCGATAAACGGGACGCGATTGGACAAACGAGTCTCTATCGAAACGTGAAACGAGCTCACAAAGTGTCGCAGGAATCATCGTCGATCGAAAGATATATACGGTGTCGTGACATGGAAAAAGGCCGCTTTCAAGCAAACCGATGTAAATGCACATGACGTCTATATCCCCCGGTTCCCTCTATCCAATGCCGTTTCCGTCATACCGCCGTTTTTCTCTCCCACTCCAACGTTTTCATCCGCGTTTCAGTCTCTCTCTCTCTTTCTTTCGCATGCGCACTCGTGTGCTGCGCATTCGCATACGTCTCTCCTAGTTCTGGAATGGTAAAAATACGATTTGTCAGGGCGACAGTACGGTAAACGTGCAATGAAATCTGAATTCGCTGCCCTACGGCGACGTCGCACCTCTCTCTTTCTCTCTCTCAAGTTTTTGACGCAGGAATTTTTACCTATCTCGGCGTTCGATCCACGATTTCTGTCGACAGGATCGAAGTTGAGTGTAACCTCGCTCTCTCTCCTTCTCCCCGTTTTTAAGGTTAGGTTAGGCTGGAAATTCTTCCGATTCTTCGCGAGAAGAATCCCGGCAATTGATTTATTAATCTCGCGATTCAAACGTTTGGCAGAGTTTGGAGAACGTTGAAGGAATTTTTTTTTATCAAGAAGCGATTTAAGTCTCTGGTAAAAAGGTTATTTTATATATATTTCACGTTAAAAGGAGGACTGTAATTATCTAGTAATAACGAAAGTATTGTTGGATCCATCTTTTTAGGGAATTAATTCCCTTTTTTAGGTAAATGTACTGTGAAGATGAGCGCAGTCACGCCTGAAACTTTCAACTTCTTCTTCTTCTTCTTCTTCTTCTTGTCGGTCTTTCAGTGATCTCGAGCACGAAATTTAATAACATAGTTGGAAGGAATAAAGGGAAGAAACTTATTAACTTGATAATTTTATTTTTGCTTTTTATTTATCATGGTCTTTGCTCAATTAATCAAAAAAAAAAAAAAAAATATCTTTTTAATATCTAAATCTCTTTTTCCAATTCTCTTCAATCTCGTAAATTAATCTCACCATCAATTGACATTTCTACAATTTATAATTAAGGATAATTTTGCAATCGCGTTTAATATCACGGATAGGGATTTTGCTTAAGCGATTGATCGCCGTAATTAGATCGGTGCCTCCAAGTAACGAAGAGAATATAAAATATCCCCGATGGAAACACTTGGATGGACTGTCGAGACTTTCTTCGAGCTCGGTTCAATTTAACTTTCCCAACGAATCGATTATCGAGATTCTTCCTGTGTCGAAAATATTATCATTCATCGACTTTTCTCTCTCTCTCTCTCTTTCTCTCTTTCTCTCTCCCCTTTCTCCTCCTTTTTTCAACGAGCGTGGAAGAGGAACGCAAAAGCAAGCGTTCCAAGATTCTTCTTGAAAACGAGATAATTCTTGTTCTCGATCGAGTTATGCTCGACGTGACGATCGAAACTGAAAACTCGTGAAGAAAGCGTAGCGCGTCAGCTTCAATATCGCGAAGGATAGAACAAAAAATATCCGGCCGGTGAAATTAGAAGCGAAGAAAATGGCGCGTTAAAGGCCCCGAAGGGATGAAACGAATTTATATTATATCTCTCGGCCGCGTTCTTAATTGCTTCCTTATACAATGTGGCGTGTCGGGGGAGAAAAAGAAAGAAAAGAAAAGAAAAAGAGGAGACAATTATTCGAAGAATATGACTTCCCTCCTCCTCCTTCTCCTTCTCCTTCTCCTTCTCCTTCTCCCCTTCCTTCTTCCTCCTTTCGCGTTTCATCTCTCAACGTATTCGTAATGCGTGAGTAATCCGATAAGCTTCCCTTCCGTTGATGATTTCTCGCACGTTGCCGGTTATATAATTAGGGAAATGAAGATGGATCTTGGTGTCGAAAGTGGTTCGAATTTTCGAAAATTCGAACCACGAAACCGGTTTCCAATCGCGTTGGGCTTGATTGCACATAACGCGAATTTATACCAATTCGATTAATTATTCGCGGGCCAAGTCGAGCGGAAGCCGTAATTATATCTCTTTTGTCGTTTTCCCTTATCTCTTGTCGACTCGATTCCCTTCGAAATTCACGGTTCAAAGCGGGGCCCGCCGCTCCACCTTGCATTTTTTCCCTTCTCTCTCTCTCTCTGCCTTTTTTTCTTTCTGCCTCTTTTCTCGACGCGGATACTCGTCGAGCACGAGGTTTAATAGAATTTTACGAGTATACAAAGTTAAGTAGGGTGGAAGTGGAGTTTTATTGATCGGGCAGGAGAGCGAAGCCGTTCCTTCCTCCTCCTCGTGCTCTTTCCTAGGCGAGCTCGTGATCGTGGCCGATACCATCGCGCCTTTTCCCGTAATTCTTTCCCCGTAAAGAGGTTTAACGCTACTCGATGCAACTAACTTCATTAGCAACTTTGCTTGTTTTCGTCCGAGTTACACGAATTCCTCGTCTTAATAACGAACGTAGTTACAATTGACGCGTAAGATGATTTTGCATTCTCGTATTTCCTAATGAAATTGGTCTTTTTCTTTTCTTTTCTTTTCTTTTTTTTGTATAAAAAGAAATTAAATCGTTTCACCCGAACGAAAGAAAATTATCTATTATTCAAAAGCGTACAAGATTCGTCTTAACGAAAGCTCGAATCGTCTTATTTCGCGATAAATTTGATGGATATCGTGTTTAAAATTCGTTTAGAGGCTTCGTTCTTTGTCGAGCTCGCGAAAGAATCGAAGGAGTCGTTGCCGACGTTAAAATGTTTTATCGATACTCGAGCAGGGAAACACTGTTTTTTGTCTTCGAAGAAACGAAGGCGACCTCGCTTTCCAAGCGCCCTCGATCGCTTTAACTCTTTCAATTTGCATTCTATTTGTTTATTTACCCTCTTCATCAATCCGATTAATCGTTCAATTTGCGATCGATCGCGCATCTCTATCCGCTCTTAGAAAGGGATAAGAATGATTAGACGAGGAATTAAATTAAATAAACAATCGAGTAATCTTTCGCTCGAAATTGATTTTTTCCGAGAAGTTAAACATTTCGATCAATCCTCGCTCAGAGGATATTCTTATCTACGCTCATTTTTATCTTTTTTCTTGAAAGAATTCGCAACACAAAACGAAACGAAGTATTTTCGTTTGAATCAACATTTCGTCGATACATTTGTAAAATGAGCTGAGAAAATGAAACGAATCGTTGAAAATGAAAAAAAATCTTCATTTCACTGAAAGCTTCCGTTGGATTAAGAGATCCATCGACAAATAAGATTTCCACTGTCTTTCGTAGATATACCTTCTACGTATGCGCAATTTTTGAAAAGATATCATTCTTTTTTTTTTTTTTTTTTTCATCGAACATGAGAATCGCCGTCGAATCTCTATTTTATTATTCACGCGATCCTCATCGCGAGGGGAGGCGATATCTTCAGGACACTCTTCTTCTTTTCGATATCAATATTAGACCATCTGGCATTCCATTAAAATTCGCATCGCTGAGAGCACTCATGCCGTGAATCTGTTCCATATTTTCCCGTTATCGCGAGGGAGAAGGACAATTGTTGGATCGGCCAGCTTCCAAGATTTAAGACGCGTGCATCCCACGTAACGTGATCGAAAGTCTACATTTTTTTTTTTTTACATTTTACTCTCAGCTTTATCACGCCCGATCCTTTGCTCGTTACGAAATAATAAACGAAATAATGCGCGACAATGACGCGTTATTACAACGCGTTACATCTTTTGATATAAAATGTAACGATAATGGAAAATGAAATTGGCAACATTTAATATTTGCTGCGTTGTCTCTGCACGCGAAACACGAATTTCGAATGAAATTACACGCGACGTTAACGATTATATTTTTGTTGCCGTTGTATCGAGCTGATTCAGGGCATGGAAGATGTTATTACAGATAAACAACAGATATACAGTTTGAATCGGTTTAAAATTAAATTGGCGTTGCTCTGGTTTCTAGATATGTACGTTCGACAATTTGCAAAACTATATTTCAGCGATAATATTATTGTTTAATTCGATTATAATCATGGGATGAATTTGGATTAAAGGTAGGGGAGAGGTGGGAAAATCAGTTTCAGGAAAGTGAGCTAAGATTTTTTTAAATAAGTATAGTTACGAGAGAATATACGAGAGTAACAAAGTTTTAAAGCACAAACTAGATAATGCTTTAGTCCGTTTTATCCCTTCTTTGAAACTCGTTTTAGACTTTATCCATCTTGATGGTTAACATTCATAATCTAAAAATTTTATGAACAGTAAAACTAAAAAAAAGAAAAAAAAAAAAAAGAAAAAATGCGTAATATATACATTTTTTTAAAAATTAATATTTTAAAAGATTTTTCACGATTTTTGACACGTTGCACGTTTCGAGTTTGTTATTAAATTTTTCCGATTTTTTGATTCGACGCTTGCGATATACTCCATCATTTCACCCCTAATAATAAAACTCCTTTGAAATTCGATTCATCGGAATATTTGGGAATTCGTGATTAAATACATAATAATCTTAAATCACGATGTTTTAATTATCGATAATATCTCGTATTAATGAATTTTTTTTATTATTTATACAACTCGTCAAAGAAAATATCCGTAATTTCATTTAACGTATTCCGCATCGACGAACGTATTCGTTAACGAACTTTCTATCGTTTCTTTTTCATCTCCAAAAAGAAAGAAAGAAAGAAAGAAAGAAAGAATGAAAGAAAGAATGCAAGCCACTAATTTTTCCGATTACAAAGACGGTATTAATTAAAGCTAGCTAAAGTAGAAGTAACGTTCTCTTTTTCCACCAATTAGACAAATCTATCTCTCTTTTCCACCCACTTGGTCTATGCACATTTTCCCCTTAACGAACGCTTTAAAACAATTATTTTTTCGATATTTCTTTTTTTTTTCAGACTCCTGTTCCCTTCATCAACATCATCCACGGCATTCAACATCCTTCTCCAACATTTTCTTTTCGTCATCCTCACAAAGCACCTTTGAACCGTGCCGCGCCTTTAAACGGCATGTTTTTGCACCCAACCGACTCGGCGAAGAGGCACGTCGGCGTGTCCTGCTCCTTCCATTTGTTCGGGGAAAGCTTTGTACACCTGCCGCTAAAACACACAGCCGTGTCATCTTCTTGCCTGGGTAATTCGATGAAAAACTCGAGGAACGGACAGTTTTCTGTCTCCCCCCTCCATTGCTCGGATCGAAAACACAACTGATTTCGAGTCAATCACGCTAGAAAGATTAGGCGATGCATCACATAATTGTTGGCAAATTATCATCGGAGAAGGTTCGTTTCGAGATGCCACTCGAATTTCCCTTCGATTGATCGAGGAAACGAGATGATAATTTTGCGAATCATCGTGTCACTTGGATGTGATAAATATCGAAAAAGATCGAGCTTCGTGAAAACAAAGTTTTATCGAGTAAATTGTGATATAAGTCGAGAGACGATGTAATTTAATTTAATTTAATTTAATTTAATTTTCAGGCGGATCATTGTAATAAATCTGGTCCATCTTTCGTGCGAGTTTTACGAGTTTTAAAGTAAAGTGTCGACGAATTATCCTTGAGAAGAGCAAGTCGAATAATTGTGAAAATTTTTTTTCCTCATCTTACGATTGCAATCTCTCTATACAAACTGCGTATCCTTTGAAATTTATATATCCTATGCGATTCTGTTCGTGGGAAAAATAATTCCCCCTGTATAAAATACAATCTCGGAGCTGTGTTGTCAACGTATATTATCCGCGATTGACCCCAAGCGAAAATGAAACAATACGCTGGTGTAAAAGCCAGCGTGCACACTTTTCGTTTGACGCTCGAATATAAATAATACTCTTCCGACGTTTGCGCACGTTTCGAGTCTTTTCTTTCTGAAATTCCACGAGAAAGAAACGAGGAACAATACAAAAAAGCGGGGGGGAAAAAAAAGAAGAAGAAAAAAGGGAAAGGAATAAAATGAAGAAAAAAAAAAAATAAAAATAGGAAAATGGATGAACCACGGATAGATATTTCTTAAACGGGCCATTGTCCACCACTTTGCGCCATTTGTAAACGTGTATGTATATTTGTAAATTCATATTTTGTGTCACGAGAATATATACTGGTATTCGTTGTGGATGTAAAAATCTATTTCCGTCTTAAAATTGTACAAATATAAAATACACCTATGTAGAATTCGCGTTAAAACGAGAAGACCAAGACAGTTCAATTAAATTGGTTCGAAAGATATGTAATATTTTTGTTTGGCTCGCGTCTTGTTCCATCATCAACCGTGTTTTTTACTCGTCCGATAAATGGCTGATCTGTGCTACTCGTAATTAATGGTATCGTACAAAATCGCATTAATCACAAATTATTCTCCATTTCAAATTTCAAACACGAAGAGATAATAATAATAATAATAATAATAATAATAATAGTTAAATAGTTTCAGAAAAATGAATGAAACGTGTTTCGTGGTCTAATTATTACTGTTATTGTCACGATTAATGGATTTTCAAAATATTGGCTTGTTATGTTTATCATCCAATTACCAGGGATTCGAAATTAACCATCCACGAAAATTGAAAACAAATTTGATATTCGATCGATTATAGTTTATGATGTATACGCGAATTTAATTCGATTAATTGTATTATAATAAAAGATAATTCGTACGTCATCGATCCTGTTTGTATCTTTCAGGGAACTAAGTGGAACTAAGTGGCCTGCGTTTGACAATTCTACGATTGTTGTTAACGGGCAAAAGTGTTTTCGACTGTTGATTTAGTTAGCAAAGTTTACGGGATGTAGCTCAATTGAATAGTAGATTGGAGAAGTGAAAGCGGATAGTAGAAGTTTCAAGTAACTTGTAATAGAATTGATTGATTTCCATGTAATTGCAATAAGACAAATCACGTGAGGATTTAATCGTTTAAACCGTGAAATGTACACTACAATTATATTACGTTTATCTCTGGAGAACGAGAGAGAAATCGTACATTGTTATTTTGATATTATCGAGAAACAAAAATTGAAGCGAAAATTTTGACAGAACGTTCTGTCAGGATTGATCGGAATTTGGATATTTCATACCAGCGGTTTCTATGAAAAAGATTTCTATCGCAGGAAGCGCGGCGTTTTTTTTCTAAAATAAAAGGTACATACAATTCGCGTATGTAGTAGTAACCATTTTTATACAGAAAATT